TCTCCTCACCCCACCGAGGACGGGCCCAAGCTTTGTCGACCTGGTCGATTATACGTAGCTAGTATCAATGTCATCCTACTGCGGATACTCCAAAACTGTAGTAAAAGTTATAGAGAAGCTCTGAGAATTTGTGTTTCGTACCATAAAAGTCAGTAGCTGCCCAGGCGTTCCAGTAGATGTCACGATGACATGACGTTACACAGTGACGTGACGTTACACAGTCCCGTGCCGCATAACAGCGTTTCGGTCAACGACGGGCCGCATCTACTCCATAAGCTTACAATGGAGTCGGAAAATTCCTATCATCTGGTGACGACGTAGCTGCCATTATGTTGTAGTGCAACAAATTACTCATGTGTTTGGGGTGATGCTGGTGTGAACAAACCTACTGTACTGCCAGTCGTATAAAAGTATAGCACCTACAGTTATGTACAGAAGATAATAATAAAGGTAATAAATGACGATGTTACCAGTTTGTCTTTACTATACTTTTTATCATTATTTTAGAGTGTGCTCTTTCTACTTAATGTAAAAAGTTTGCTGTAAACAGTATGTTGTGTTGCACTGACAGAGGCCTCATGCATCTCCTGTTGACCACATCTGTTGACTGCATCATTTTCTCTTGTCCTTGGTTTAATGTCGTGTTGTTTTGTACAGTTACAGGCTGTGCAAGCTTGTAGCCCAGAACAGGAGGCTGTACCATACGGCCTAGGTGTGTAGCAGGCTCTGCCATCTAGGTGTGTGTGAGCGCACTCTGTGATGGTCGCACAATGAGGAAATCGCCTGACGACGCATTTCTCAAAGAATGTCTCTCTGCTGTTCAGTGGCACGTGACTGTCATCATTTTCTTCAGTTATTGATAGTTCAGTGATAGAAAGATTTGAGAAATCTTAATGAATTATCTTTCTTTGCAACGCATAGAATGCTTTGATACAAAATGGGTTCTTTATGTAAAAATAGGTTTTAATAGGCTTCAAGACAGCTGACCTCATCGCTGTGTGTGTCTTGTAGTTAGACTGTCTGCAAAATTAAAAAAAGATAAGAAAGTGGACATTCTGCAGTTTTTCTAAGGGAGCTGATATGATGTATTCTGTTTACAGGCCTGAAGAAGGTATGAACTGTTCCACATACACAAATTGTCCTGATTACTGAAGTTTATCACTTTAAGACCTAGATATTTTTTATTTTTCTTTCAGTTTTCAATAGAAATCTTTCTAAAAGAAACTACTTGTGTTCATGAGCAAAGTGCATTCAACAGTCTGTGAATTTTGCATAATTATCGATGTGTGTGATTATCATAATGATAATGTATTGACACTTGTAACTGTCTTGGCCAGTGACCCTAGAATGCCATCTTTTCGAAGTTGCCCCTGGTTTTTATGTAGCAGATGCTTCTACCAGCATACCACTGTGTGCTTTTTTTGAATTTACTTAACTTCTCTCCTTGAAGGCTGGGAAACATAACAACTTAATTTACTTTCTAAATAGAGAGTAAATAGGCTTTGGATGAGTCTCTGTGTGAGACGTCCTGTATAAGTCAAATGAATGAACTTTATTACATAGGCTTATTTTATCACATATTTTAACATTTCAAAGAAAGAGGACTCATTTTATAATTGTCATATCTTTATAACTTTCATATCTTTCTAATATTAAACCATCCATATCCGAAAAAAAAAAGATTATCATATCATTATTTTCATTGGCAATGCTGCTGGGTTTGCAGAGTGAAAAAAAATCCTCAAGCCTGTTATACTGTTGTCTAGATGGCTTTTGGTTTACCTTTGGGTTCTAAGGTGTGTGAAGTGAGGTCGCCGGAGGTGTTAGCGTACTAAAAATTGTTTTTCGTCATCTTTGACAACGATTATTGGATGTCTGCCACATGTAAGGCACTGAATGACGGGGAAATGACTTCTTCCGAAAAATTCAAATTCTCATTTGAAAGAGATGGAGGAGAAAGGACTTTGGTACTTGGAACGTGTCAGAGAGTGTGGTAGCGTGGGCCAGCCCTACGTGCCCATGGCCCAGCCAGAGTCCTTCTCTCTCCAGAAGGCTGACTTTTCACCGAGGGGGCAGCTTTCAGGTAACTCAGATGGAGCTGAGGGGAACAGACCTCAGGGAAGGTGCATTCAGCCCTGTTCGTCAGAGGTGTGGCACGTGGTGGCCAGATCAGCATACCTAAGTTAAAGCTTGTCTGTACTTGCCAGGCCGGTGGGGTGGACAGCAAGGGCTACGGGATTTGGGACAGGTGATCACTTCCAGCTGGGGAGGGGTCGGTTCATGAAGTGGGAAGGATCATGTTGGATCTTGAGTGAGGAGGGCGACTGCTGTGTCGGAGGAGGCGAGGGAGGGCCGGCCAGGAGGAGAGTAATGCCCGGGATGCGGCAGGTGGAAGAGGGCCAGGCGTGTGTTGTAACTCCGATCTGTTCTTTCACGAGAGCTTGTTCATTCTCCCGCTTCTCTGTCTGAGCCTCCCTGTGGGAAGACAATGGGTTCTGGAGCTGGATGAACTTGGATCTCAAAACCAGTTCTGCCACTTCCCGGCGGTGTCATCTTCAGCAATTTTCTTAGTCCCTCTTACATCAACCCCCTCGTAAAAGGCAGGGAGATAATGAGACTGATCTTGTGGACTCTTCAGAAAAATGAGACTTGTATTTGACCATGTACGAGATAAATCTGGTATATGCTCAGTGAATGGTAATTTCCTTGGGCCAACCCTTAGTCAGGGCTCCTGTCTGGAGCCTCCTCATGCCCATGGGCTGTGCCCACTTACTGACTCACTTAAAGATACAGTCAGCTCAGCAGGTGCAGGAGGAAACACGTTACTTCACCTCCTGCCTACACTTCGCTCCCATTTCAGATATATACGTTCACCCTTTTATGTCTGGTTGGAGTTTGAATTCTTACAGGTAACATAGTTCCAACCCTTGCTGTCATCTCTGATTAATTTTGAACTTTCATGGGACATTTCTAGTCTGTCATCTGATCCTGGCCGTTTCTTTTTCTTGTGACACTGTAGTCCCCGTCTGCGCTGGCCTCACACCATTCACGAGTGAATTGCTCAGAAATGTTTTTAAGAGAATCTGACTTTGTTTAGCCCCCTCCACCTTACATGTTCTTCAGATGCTACCAAACTCCCCTCCTGCCATGGTCCTTGGGTTTGGCCGTGGCTGTTTCGTCTAACCTTGCTTTTCATTAGTTCTGAGCATAACAATAGGTCATATGTTTTTATTTGTGCTTATTGTGTGCCAGTTATGTATCCAGGTCTTTGTTTATGTTAGCCCATTTTTCTTTAGAACAGCCCCTTGAGGTACCATTATTCTTGCCATTTTGTGGCGGAGGAAACTGAGACACAGGGGAATTAAGTGTTTGCCCAAGGTTGCATGACCAATCAGTGTTTGAACCCAGGAGACCTGGCTCCAGACCCTAAGCTCTTGAAATCTGCTCTGTCTTCCTGTCTTTCATCCATCAAAACTCCTAGAGAGCAGAGGCTGTGTCAGTCAGCTCTGCTTACCACACGCCATGCCTCGTCTTGACGTGCAGTAGACTCTAACTACAGGTACGTTCTGCATAACTTCTTCATTCGTCTCTGAGTCCTACTTCATGCCACTCTCTCCCAGCGTCATGGCAGGAGGTGGAGGAAGGGGTAAGTGCTCTCCTGTGACTATGCAGCCTGGGGTTCAGATCTCAGACACTTACCAGTGATCTGACCTTGTTCAAGTTGCTTCTCTTAAGCCACAGTTTCACTTTGTAAAATGAGGATAATAGCGATGACCACCTCAGAGTTTTTGTGAAGTGTGTGTCCTGTGTCTAGCATGTGGAAAATGGTCAGTGAACATTACCTTTCAGAAGTAGTTGTATTGCATCACCCCTCCTCCTCCACCCCCGTCTCTCTCAGCTAACTTTTGTCTATTCTTTTAGGCTTGTCCGTTCCATTCCAACTTGTATGTTCTCTATGGCACTTGTGTAACTTCTTCAGCTCACAAAGAACCAGGTACTTTTTCCTGTTTGACCACTTCTTAGCTGTGTGAGTTTGAGCAACTCACTAAATATTACAAGTCTCAGTTGTATCATGGTGTGACAAAGGGTTTTTTTGCGGATGAAATAAGGAATAGGCAACTCTTAAGCACCCAGTAAACTTTAGTTGTCTTGCCTTTGACCCTCCTTTGTCACGAAGTCTTCCTCCACTAACCAGCCGACATTCCATAAAAGCTCATCAGTAGACTCAGATATCTGACTTCATTGTGTGGAAGACAGGGAGGCTTCTGTTGTATGGGATGGAGTGGACTGTGGTCCGTTAGCAGGGAACTCATGAAGCTGAAGAGCCCTTGTCCTGTGTCGTTTTGCTTTTTTGGAAATGTACTCTTGGTGGTGGTTCTAAACGCAGCCAAGCCTCATACTGTATAGCGCAGTCTTGGCATCCTTTGAATTCATTCATTCAACAAATACTTCTCGAATACATACTCTGTGCCAAGAACTGTCCTAGCTGTTGAGGGTGGGATGATAAACAAAACCAACCTGGTTCTGATTTTCACGGAGCTTGTCGTGCTGGATAGACAGACACCAGCCATGCAAGTATTAACTTATAAAGAGAGAGATGTTACAAAGGGAACGCGAAGCTGCCATGAAATGTAAAATACGAGGGACTGAGTGTCGAGAGCCAGGGAGCATTCTCACTGGAGGGGATGTGCGAGCCGAGAGCTGAGGGCTGAGAAGGGGTGCCCAAGTAAAGAAGCAATGGACTACCTTCAAATTTAATACTCGCTCTTTTTCTCTTAATAGGAGATGCTATTAGTATTTTATTAACCTTAGAGGATTACAGATGATCATTAGTCTTCGAATCTGGAGGTGCACAAATATCCTGTCACTGTTTTTTATCTAACTTGAATATAAATAGTACGTGCGTCAGGCTGGGTGAGGGAGGCTGAAAGTTTTTGAGCACAATCAGGCATTGTGTTTTTTATTATACTTGGGGCCAGGCTGTCAGTCAAGCTCATCCAGGCACTTTGTCACATTACAGGTCGCGTTGTCTGGGCTTGCCTACCCAAAGACAGGTGCTCTTTATTTTAATTTGTGTTCCGTATATTTGCTCTGAAAGTTGTTTTTGTTGAAACTTGAAGAGCCAGGTGCTTGCAGCTCGAGTATGACTGACTTATTGGATATTCGAAAACGAAGAAGGGACACCCCTCAGTCAAGTGTTACACGCTACCAAAATATGACAGTGTTTAGGGCATTGTGCTTTAACATCCCTGCCCTGCCTGCCCCCCCGTACCCCCCCCAACACACAGTATAATCATCACTATAGAACTCTTTCTGATCTTCTCTTTCCAGAAAGGTATTTCCTGAGATGTTGTAGTAGAGTCTTCCAAAGTGGGAAGCCTGTGACAGTACTGGAGATGATTTCCGATTGTCTGACTAGGTCAAGGGAAGACTGTAGCTCGCATTTCTTCAACACCGGCCACTTGCAATTGTCCTTTAAACGTGAAGAAGCAGGCCTTGGGAGACAAACTAGATCCAGCTAACTTCGCTTCGTTTTCATTATATTTATGTTTACGATACTTTCTATTTATGGCAAGTGATACTAATTTGTAGCAGTGATTTAACGATTTTTCAAAATGATTTTAAAAACGAATTGATTTTAAAAAAATCGACACTCGAATTTGGCAAAATTATAAAGGTAGTTCTTGAATGACTGAAGTTGGGGAATAATGCCTCAGTAATCTGGATTTTTCCCGTGCTATCTGGCATTTGGTTTTTATTTCTGAGGACCTATGTTAAATTTGGGTGTTAAAATCTGATAACACAATAAAATATTACTTCAAACCCACTAGCATGGCTCTAATAAAAAAGATGGATAATAGCAATGTTGGTGAAGATATGGAGAAATTGGAACCCTCATAAATTGCTGGTAGGAATGAAAAATGGTACAATCCCTTTGGGAAATAGTTTGGCAGTTCCTCAAAAAGTTAAACATAGAGTTACCATATGACTCAACAATTTTACTCATAGGTATATACTCGAGAGAATTGAAAACATATGTTCATGTAAAAACCTGTACACGAATGCTCATAGCATCATTATGTATAATAGTCAAGAAGTAGAAACAACCCAAGCATCTATCAACTGATGAATGGATTAAAAATATGGTATATCCACACAATGAGATATTAGCTATAAAAAAGAATGAAGTACTTACACATGCTACAACATGAATAAACCTTGAAAACATTATGCTAAGTGAAATCAGCCAGGCACAAAAGGCCACACATTGTATGAATCCACTTACAATGTCCTGAATGGGCAAATCATTGGGTAGAAAGTGGATTAGTGATTGCAGGGGCTGGGGGGCAGATGGGGGATGAAGAGTGGCTGCTAGTGGGTACGGGCTTTCTTTTGGGGATGATGGAAATGTTCTCGGATTAGATCCTAGTCACACAACTTTGTGAATATACTAAACATTACTGAATCGTATACTTTAAAAGGGTGAATTTTTTGGCATGTGAATTATGTCTTAATAAAAAAAACCAGGCGGCATGAAAACATGGGACTTGCCCTAGAAGGCTTTATGAGGAGGTGTCGTCATCACTGCCATGGCCCCTCTCTTATTAGGGTTGTGCTTTTCCCAATGGTGCCCTTGTGGCCTTTGACGCCAACATCTTAACATAGACCGACACAGGTAGGTTCTAACCTGCCGTGCAAAGTATAACCTTATGTTTTTATCTTCACAGTAGTAGTCTAGCTAGATATGTGGGTTTTATATATATGTATGTGTTTTTATATATTAATAATAGAATTATAGATGTGTATATATGTGTATGTGTGTGTATATATATAACAGAAGAGGTAGAGACTTAAAGACGTTGAATAATAGAGTAGGGACTTAAACTTGGGTCTTTATACTGTACTTTCCACTATAATTTCTAAACAAATTGTCATATATATCAGAGGTAGCCAGCCAAGGTCAGATTTGCAAAATGAGGTTGAAGAGGAGAAAGTTTATCCATGTCAGATCAAGTCACTTATTTAAGGGTATATTTTAGTTTATCTTTTCATTGATGCCACTTGTAAATATTGACTGAAGATGTCCTTTGTAGAGTGCTTCGTGATTTACGAAGCAATGTGAAACACAGCCCTTCATGTTATTTTACTTTAAAACCAAGGAAGCTGATGTCTAAAAGTAAGTACCTGTCCCTAGACACACAGGAAATTCAGTCAGGCTGGATTTTGGGTCAGGTCGTCTGACTCCGTATCCACTGTTTTCACTCTCTCGTTACACCCTCTGGCTGTTCTGCAGTGCGTGGGTCCATTCATTCAGCAGTTACTACCCGAGCGCCTCCAAGGAGCCAGTATCTGCTCATGGAGCTGGAGATAATAAGGTAGGTAATAAGGTAGACGGGGCCCCTAATTCTTGTGGTACAGACAGTTTCGAGGGAGGAGACAGACAGGAGGCCATTAACCTAATAAGAAGGTAATTTAAAACAGTGATGCGTTAAAGAGAAAATAAAATGGTAGTGTGACAGAAGTGACTGTGATACGTGCCATCAACCTCGAGAGAGAAGATAACCTGTTAAGAAGGCCTCCCGGGGGGCTGGCTGGGCTCAAATTTAACAATAGAGCCCAGCAGCTGTTTCTAAACGGGACTCTCACACAAGCCACACTTAAGTCCGCTTCCCTCTGGCTCGGGGAGTGTGCTTTCCCTTTCCAGCAAAGATTGAAGACTGCAGACTGTGTTTCCCTGGCTGGAGCTGAAACACCGAACGCCAGAACCGCTGGACCAGAGCAGAGCTGTCTAGCTGGGGCTGGGCCTCGCCCGAGGGCCCCCTTTGCAGCTGTGCTGTTTCCTAAGTGAGCTGAAGCACTGTTGAGCTGCTCCACAGCCACGCTGTCCTCACAGCTTTCCTGTATCACAATTATGCCGTTTGCACCGAATAAAGCATCCATCTTCACCGCACCCCGAACTGGGGATTCCTGTTGGCACTGAATTGGTGCCAACGACCATGGGTTGACACATCAATGGACATTTGTTAGATTGGATGGTCAGGGAGTGCTTCTCTGAGACCTTAAGTACCTGAGAGAGTCAGCCAGGCACAGATCTGCCTGAAGACTTTTCTAGGAAGATGAGCATGTGGTGTCGTGCGTGCAGTCCTCGCATCCTGTGATCCTAGGGGGTCAAACTTGGAGACTTGAATTTAAGCCAGTGTCCTGGTCTTCTTTGGTATACATAGGCCATTTTCTTCTTTTTGGCTGTGTGCACGTGTGTGTGTGTCTGTGTCTGCCTATACGCACACGTATGCTATATTATATATAGTATAAATAAATAATAAATATAAAAATAGATTTCAAATTAAATGCTTGTTTTTCAATGGAAAAATATCAGTCTAGATGTGTGATTTTCCTAACAGGCATGAGCCTCACGCACAATTACTTCGAGAGGTTACCTCTTAGGAATATGATGTATGTTTTTTGCTTGGGTGACTAAACAGGTGTTTTGACCATAAAAAGAAGATGGCATTTTCTGTCGTTGGCCCTCCTCGGTCAGGACCACCTGCTGACTATATTTTTCATGAGAATCCCTGGAGGCATTTGTAAGCTCCTCCCCCTCCCATACTCATGAGTGCCGTTCGGCAGTGTCTAGTCGATGCTAAATAAATACATAGAAGTTGACTCAGATGGAATGAACTCTTTGTTCTGGGGAAAATGTCACTATTTTAGAGCTCCCAAGCAGAAAGCTTTTGTCTTGTTGGGAGCAATACGCCCCTCCAAAACAAGAAATAGGCAAATGAAAGGATGGAAGTGATTTGAGTCAAACATCTGAGTTTCGGGGTGGTGATGGAGGTGTTCGGTGAGGGTGGGGTAAGAGGTTCCGTGAAAAAGGTTTCAATAGCTTTTGTTTCACCGAAGGACGGGTCTTGGTAGTGGTTGTCAAGATGGTTCGGACTCTTAGTGGAGACAGCAGCCATCTAATCTGCATTTACTCTCCCCAGAGCTTCACCTGATCTTCACCCGCCTCCTTGCTGTCCTGTACCTGCTTCGCGCATTCTTACCCGTTTGTTCTCTCTTTGGTTCACTCTTTTTCACTTTTTCATAGAGCAGCATTCTCACATTTTCTTTCCCTCTGTAAAAAAACAAAATACGAGTGGAGGAGAATAACTTAATATATCTGTCTTCGCTCATCCTTCCTCTCCCTTTCTCCCCGTGCTTTCTTGTAGGAAGTTCTCATTTCTTGCCCTGAGGGCAAAGCCTGGGTCCCAGACTGTGGTAGCGCGAACCCTCCAGTTTTACGGTATTTCCCATTTTTGCAGCATCCTTGCTCATGCTCGTGTGCGCTCCTGTAGAGCAGGTGCTTCTTTTGTTTTTGTTTGTGGTAAAATGCAAGTTGGTACATGAGCCGAGTGAACTGAACTGTTCTCTCCTTAGGGAGCAAACCACAGATAGTGTTTGTTTTTTTCTTTTTTCTTTTTTTTTTCCCCGTAGCCTCTGGGTATACAGGTCTGTGGCCCTGCACTGACAGCTACTGCTCATTTTCTTCTTTCGGTGTTATTGCCTCTTTCTGCTTTGCTCCTTTTTTAGGATGCTAATGGCATACAGAAAACTCATCTTTTTCTAAATTCGAGTTTTCGAAAAATAACTTCGGACAGTATAGGCAGAGAGTTTTGTGAAGTCCACAGACATTTAATCCTTTAAAGGCAGCTAATTTTATGGGCATATCACTACCCTCTGTGGTAACCACTGGCCTAAAGGACCAGTTTCTAGAGCCGCGTTCAAAAGCGAAAGAGCTAGAGAAGAATTCTATCCAAATTTCTTGGGAAAAAAAATAGAGTCCATCTCACCTATGCTTTAGAATGTTATGAAGAAACATGGAACCCCAACTCCTGCAGATGGCTTGTTGATAACACGCCACCCGTGCGTAGGCATTGGTGTCCTCCGTTTCTTGATTTTCTCATTTGACCCATCTAGGTGGGAGAGCTGTTGAGTTGACATGACCATTAAAATTTCTGAGGGTGATGCAATCGTAGGCAGTAAACTAAGTCAGCTTAGTGACTTGTGCAATTTCCTGTTACCTAAAACTGTATTTTCCTTAGGATCAGTTAAAGGTATATCGGTGAGCATGTGCACTGGAGGATGGAGAGGCAGAGTCTGGTGGTGAAGGGCAGAGACCCTGGTGTGAGCCCTGGCCCTGTGTGGCTTTGGGCAAGTCACCTCCCCTCTCTGTGTCTCAGCTCTTCATCTTCAATGTGGGACACTTATAGTCCATGTTCCGGTGGACATTAGGGCGATTTAGGCATTTTTATATTCAATTTTAGAAAGGTGCCGGCCATGTAGTAAGTGACATTTAACAGTTTGCTTTTATTACGTGTGTAATGATATATATATTTTCCCCAATTCTAGTTTACTCTTCTTAATTTTATATCACAGAAAACTTGATTTCTTCTTATCCATGGTATTTGGTAAGCTTTATCAATACTATTGTATTTCGCATTAAAGCCTTTAGAATTTGTTTGAAGCCGTTGGTTTCGCAGGTCTAAGGCCGAAATCTGTCTTTTTTCACCAAATACAGCCCTCTTTGTGGTTTTTCACCTGCATTTGCTTCTGTACCGTGACGGCACTTGGGAGAGGATGCTGGCAGCTGAGGCTTTATGGTTCATTCAGGCCTTTGACTTTCTTTAGTGTGCTTCGAAAAAGGACGGTTCGTCCTGTCTGTCAGTGGGACTGTCTCCACATGTAGAATCTTTTTTGTTTTCTTTTGAGTAGCTCAGAAAGCTCTTTAGACATCACCTTGTCTGCTCCCCCTGGGGGCTCTGCATCCTGAGTCAGTCCCAGCCAAGCCAGCACAGCACAGGACCTGTTTTTTTTGTTAAGTATGATACGAAAAGTAAGAGTATAATCTTTAAAATTCTGCTCTAACTCTGGGCTTACACGATCTTATAATGTATAACCTCAGAAGTCCTACTTTCTTAACATGCCAGTGACTGTGTATAAATAATGCCAAATACCTGCCCTGTTGCTAGTAACTGGCTCTGATATTCAAGCCCTTGATCTTTCTGTTAACAAGGCTTTGGGTGATGGTGGTGTCTTGTTAATTTGAAGACAAGAAGAAGAAGGTAGTGCCCTAAGATGGCAGAATCATAGAAACATAGCTGGGGACCTTGGGATCAGCTTCTGTTCCTCCTGCATTCCACACTTTGGTGAATAGGTAAAGTTACCTGCCTGAGGTCACATAGCTAGAAAGAATTAGAGCCATAGGCCCACATGCTCTTCTTCCTCCTGTGTGATATAAAGGTGACTATAAGAGGAGAGAACCTATGAGAGTAATGTCACTTGAGTAGCATAGGACATGGGGCATGTGTTGGCCCCTAGAGCGTAGTAACAACTGAGTTTTCTGGAGAACAAGGAGAAAGCTTTACTTCAATCGCTCAGAAACGAGAGCTGGCGTTCATGATAATGGCAACCTTGTGGGGAATTTTGTGTTGAAACCTAAAAGACCCTTCCCCCGTCACGCTTTCCTCATCGAGGCTGCGAGGGCTGGGACCTTTCTTTCTCATTTCTCATTGTGAATGTCCACAGCTCTTGTCACAAAGGGTTACTGAAAGACAGGGTAGAAGGTGTGGGTTGGATAGGTTCACTAAGAATACTGGCGGATTGCGGGGGTCGTACACCCTCATCGATTTACACCTCTCTAAACTGTGTTCTTCAACCTCACCTAGGTTTTCCTTCTTTTGTGCTCTTGTATCCAACCAATATTTGAGTGCCTCCTCCGTGCCATGTCACGCTTGAGGTGTAATGGTACCCAGTCCAGACAGGCATGGTCGCGGTCCTGTGTTTTCGAGAAGCACATGCAGGATAAGGAATAAATAATACTCACAAGCTTGCTGAGTCCTGTGAAGGAAGCCAACAAGACTCACAAGGAGGAATGGGGGTGGTGGGTCTCCCTTACAGGGATCACGCAGAGGCCCCCCGTGATGTGATATTTGAGCCGAGACTGAGAAATGAGGAGGAAGGAACATTCTCGAGAGAAAACATCATGCAGACAGGCCTTGAAGTGGAAAAGAGCTTGAGGTGTCCAAACACTAGATGTAACCAGTGTCCAGCACAGTTGGGAGACAATGTGGAATAAGACAAGGCTGGAGAGGCAGGCAGGAGCCAGGCAGACGCGACTGGATTCTGCTGGCTGTGGCTTTGATCCAAAGTGCAGTAGGAAGCCAGCAGGGCTTGGAGCAAGGGAGTGACATTTATACTGCATGTTAAGAAGGCTTTAGTGGACCTTGAAAACTTTTACGTGAAGTTCTTTGACTTTCTTCATGCATTCATTTGTTTATTTCGCAAATATTGTATATCAGCAATGTTCTAGATACTGGGGAATGAGCAATAAACCAAAAGAAGCCTCTGCTTTCATAGAGCTCATATTCTGATATAAATTCCAACAACATTTTTCGGTGGAATCAATGACTGTGGCAAGTTCCCACGTTTGGAAACCCTTCGTGGAGAAGGTAATTCCATGGCTGTTGAGATTTTGTTATTTTTTTCTGATTTACTCCGTTCCAGAGGGGGCTACCTAAGCATCTGAGAATTTCTGTGTCTCTAGTTTTATTCTGAAATGGAGGACCTGCATAAATTACATTTCTTTTATTTCACAAAATATACAGAGTATTATGTGCTTGATAGCGTTCTAAGCTCTTTATAAATATTAACATTTAATTTTCATTACAGATCTATGCAGTACGTCGTATTATTCTCTCTGTTTTTCAAACGAGGCCACTGAGCGACTTGCCCCACGTACCCAGTTAGCAAGAATTAAGATGGGATTGGAACTCCATCTTTCGGCCACTGCCCTGTCACTTTCTGATTCAAATTATAACAGTTTTTAAAAACAATCGTAAAATATTTCTTCTTATCCTTTCTGCATTTTGGATTTCTTTGAAAGTT